GGGGGGGACCGGGTAGGTCATTTCGTTAGTGTAAATAAACTCGTCCCATGGCATTTCCTTGGAGACCCCCATCAAAGTTGGGTCAATACTATTGTGAAATAGACAGAAATGTGGGCGTACTAAAAGCCGAGCATTACGGCGATATTATATTACACGGAACGATTTTCGATTCGATCACACTAAATTTGATTGTTTCAGCAGCCCGTATAGTTGGAAATCGTTCCGTGTAACATCATCTCCTTTAAGTTGGAATAGGCTCTTCGCAGTTAAGTAAAAATAGTCGAGAACAATAAGTGACTGCAGAGCTGTTTAATTTGTAAACAAAGAAGTAAGACGAAGCACTGCATTTTTCTTGCCCTCCAGATATTGTTATGTAAAGTGTTTTAGGCCATCTGCAAAAGGCCTATTAATAACATTTTTGTAGTCTTTTGCAATTAATTTCTCACCCTGTCTTGAAGTCGGTATTCAATTAAACACAAAATCCCATTAACGACATTAGGCCACATAAAATAAATTCCTTGATTCTCATCACCGCCCGACTGTATTTTAAGAGCCGCGTGAAATATTTTTATATTTTGTTATACAATATAAATGTACCGCCCGACAAAATATTTCAAGACAGTTAAGTTCTTTATATTTTATATTGGGTTTTTAGTGCCATTTTAAACTGCCAATTTCAAACAAATAGAACCTTGAAAGAAATTTCATTGCATTTTAACGGAACTTCGCATTCAGTTCAAGGGACAGTCATTGTTCGTGGAGAAATATGTTTATTTCAGTTTGTGACACTTTTATTTATTGACATATATAAAATTATATAAATATAAAATATAAACCTCCCGCCTCTTCGACATTTTCAAAGTCGGTAGTGATGAGAATCAAGGAATTTATTTTATGTGGCCTTAATGATTGAATAACTTGACGATTAAAGATGCTGTCAAGTCCGTTCTGCGCATCGGTTGTGCTCATAACAAAGGGGGACCCAACACCGCGGAAAAACGTCTGCGCATGCACCAAATTATGAAAATATGGCGGTGAATTTGAATATCAATTTCTAAAACAAAAACATGCTTATTAATTGTCAAAAATTAGTAAAACAAACGAG